ATATTTATTTCAGCGAGACGTGAAACTCTTTCAAACGCTTAGCATTAAGTTGGAACATCAATTCTTGATGGATTAATAGAAAACAGCGAATTATCTGCCCCGTGGTCAAATCGTTATTTTACTGTATGCAAGAAAACATTGAGAACAGCAAGAGAAAATGAATGTTTCTTCCCGTAGAGCGCAATTCTTCTCTCAACAGTGTTGTTGCACTGCAATAAGCAACAAGATGCCGTATCGTTGCAAATTGCAATCACATGTTTCTTTTTGGTCATACAAACTGCAATTGTCATAATTTGTCGCACTAATAAAATACACAGAGAAAATGCTATGCAATTGACATTGTCCAGTAGATGAGATATGAAATTTTTCTTTGTTCCATATTGATATAGGAAAATGAGTATATTTTGTTGCTCTTCATGATGATGAAAATAATGGATTTGCAAATCTCAATATTTGCACATGAAAATGGAAATTTCCCACTCTTCTTCTGTCCAACCAACGATTCCGTATATAAATTCATACAAAGTGTCTTCATGTTTTGCTACTCCTTCAATCCCTGCAGAAGGATTTCCTTTGCTGTTGCGAACTTGTGTGTTTATTCAATGTCCACCTACATTTCTTTGACTCAGCTTCAACTCTCTTGGGCGGACGTGAAGTAAGAAGTTGCGGAAAAAATACCAGAATTCACTGCAATTTTATTTGCTCTGTCTCATGCTTTTTTGCTCTTTTCCTCCAACCGGCGCAAAAGTGTCGAAGAAGTCAGTGTCTTTTAGCACACTCTGCGAGTGCAAATACGACAAACGTGCGATATTTCCCTCCTTGTTGTGGACTTCGCGCCATGTTAGCTGTCTTCTCAGCCAGTTGAGATCAGCACAAGATGATCGGGAGATATATGAGGAGAATTGTGCAATTATTTTTCCACTCTGCACAGCTTTTCTTGTCTTGTCGACTCGACAATGTGGATGAAATAAAAAAGAGAACATGAAATCCTCTGGCAAATCATTTGAATACACACAAACTCAATATCGCTGAGGACAAAAAGTGACTAATAATTCTGCCAAGGCGCAACGTGATTTCTCAATTGACACAGGAGAAAACAATTTCATTCCAGGCAATATTTTCTTCTTGTCTCCGGCGAGAGAGAAAGACGGAGAAAAAAGAGTCATGTTGTGAAGTTGGAAAAATATTTTTCCATCCTCCTGCCAATCGAGGATAAATGTGTGTAAATGGAAGAGTGAATTCTCCGTGTCGGAGATGTCAGCCGAGGTGGCCAAGAGTGGTGAAATGTGAGGAAAACACAGAGATTTTTCTCTGCAGCCTCACGCGACTCACATTTGCGCCTCTAAACGCTCAAGAATTCGAATTGTTGTCTCACACGGTGTTATTTCAAATCCCAAGAATGAAGTAAGAAAAATATTTTTACGCCATTCTCACCGATAATTAAACACATTTCCACTGACTTGAGAGAATTTATATTTGGGAAAAATTTTTCCCCACGAAACGTGCGCGTTTTACGGTGGAATATTTGTCGCCGTTCGGAATGAAAGGTTTCAGAAAAGTGTGTTTGTAATTGCAAATGTGCACATGAATTTTTGTGACTCTGTGTGGCGAGAGATTTATTATTCTGCCTTGCTTTTTTGGATAATTAATTGAACATCCCAAGTGAAATAGACACCCAAAGAAGGGCAAAAGAAACCCGAGATAGACAATCAGAATCTTGTTAAGCAAGTCGAAAGTCAAAGGTGTTCTTCTTCTTCTTTTTTCTCTCTCTCTCTTCGGCCAAATTGAAACTTTTGCTTAGAATTTGCTGCTTTAATTAACGGGAGAAGATCATTTGAAATTCATCAAAAGGCGAGTGTGGAGGAAGAACACGACGCGGAGGAATAAAAAAAAGAGCGCAAGACATGAAGAACAAGATACAAGAAACCGTCTAAGCAGATTGAAATTGATGACTCCTTCGGCGCGGCATCGAAGTCAAAGAAGTATCCCGCAAATAATGGTAAATGATGTGACGGAAACATTTGGAGAAAAAGTTTAAATGAGAAAGATTTCGTGGAAAAGCCCTGAGATTTTCCCTAAAGCCATCCAATGAGGGAAAATGCGGACATCAAGTAGATTCATGGAAGGGAGGGAAATTCCTTGCCAAGATTTCTTCAGAAAGTCACTCTTAATTCAATTAACTGTTAAGAGAATTTTTTGCGCATAAAAATTTAACAAACTTGATTTTCCATTGAACTCAACATGAGAGTAATTTTGACTGTCGTAACTTTGATTTGATTGCTTCGATTTTATCTGTATTTCGAGATAAAGACAATGTTTAATGGTTTGTTGACCGGAATTCGTCTTTTGCTGAAGAAGTGGTCAAAATTGAACCACAAGCAGAGTAAATTTTAACTTCTGAAGCGTGATCTTTGACTCCTTTCAACTCAAGCGGAAGTCTTGGGAAGTGAAAGCTTTCAAAAACTATAATTTTCTAGGTTATGAAACAAATCAAGAACAGATTCAGTGAATAAAAGTCTAAAGAATTGCTAAGAATTGACAGAATTTAGCGTTTGCATACAATAAACACTGTTATTCTGAACCTTTCATGTCATGCGAAACACTACAAATTGCGTTTAGATCGAACATACCCGCAAAAATATTGATTTGGACTTGGAAAATGTTTATTAAGAAACTTTTCTGTACGATTTTGACTGATAAGAGACGTGTATGTGATCTAGAAAGCTTCCAAATGGAGACTTTAAAGAGTTCTTAATGATATTTTGAGGTTATGATCAGAAAAGATACCTAAAAAAGCGGTTTTTACAGAATTTTTGAAGAAATATTATATGGAAACTTAAGATGATTAGTACAATTTGAGAACTAGTGTGAAAAGAGTCTAAAAATTTCTAGAACTGTTCACAAGTGGTGTACAAATTTAAGGCAATCGTCTTCACCTTGTGCCCTTCGAAAGATACGAAGCATTTCCTCACTCGTTACTGAAACTTTTCACTGAGAAGAGCAAAGTGAATCACCCTCGACTCAGAGTAAACACATAAAATTATGATTAAGTAACTATTAAATGCGCCTGAAATACTCGTAAATTTCTACCATAAAGTTTAATTAGAGATCTTGAATCAAGCCTTCTGATCGTAAATTCAGTACCTTTATCGCATGGCGTTGTCAAAGTGTGATCAGTTCATTTGGCTCTCGTGTTCTTTTTTTTGTCTGTATTCAGTCAAGAAATGAGCCCAAGAAGATTTCACAACGTCTGGAAACTGTCGATAATCTGTCGCAATTGCGCTTGGTGTGATGGATGTGACAAAAACCCTTGGATATAATTGCCGATGATCATCGCGCGATCGCAGGGCAGACAAGAGGGACGGATTGCCGACAAATGCGAGAGGAAGGTTCGAGCATGTGTCTCAGGGCATGGTAAATTTAGTTGGGGATCTATCTGTCGAGCCACATGGCTCTGATGGTCCTCCTGAAGAGCATGTGGCTTCGATCAGCATCTTCCCCTCTGAGCACTGAGGATCGGATTCCCATCAAGTGACAGAGCGCGCGCGGGAAGAGAGTCTCTGCGGCCCTTCTTCACTCCTTCCATCATAAATTGATGAGTGTGGTGATTGATTTATTTTCCTCTTGACACCCACCCAAATTTCCCTCTTCCACAACTTTACACTCTTCAGGCCCACGAATTCCTCGGCGTGCCAGTGATTTTCCGGGGAAAAAGTCTCGCGCAAAGTGCGTGAGTTTCGGTGAAAGAGAAAATTTACATATAATGAAGAAGTTGAGCAAGATCTCGCCGTGTTTCTTGGATGCTGTTGGAGGGAAATTTTTCCTTCCATTTCTCTTGCAGTGTTTGAAGAAGAAGTTCAAGACTCCACATGTGTATTCACGTGTCTCAATTCCCCATATTAGTAATATGAGTGTGTGTATAGGAATAAGAGTAAATTATTGTATATTTACATAAATGTACTGTGACTGACTGTTCAATTATACTTGGGTTATTTTTATTAACGCCTCTGCTGCTCGCTGAAGAAGCAGAAATGTACACAGAATGGTGAATGGAACAATAAAATGTCGATAATAAAGTTTCTTCTCCTGGGACTTGCGTTTGTTGTTTGCTTTATCGCGCCTTCTATTTATTTTCACCATTTTTACCCGGTGGAAAGACGGAGTGAAGAGACGAAACATCCCCGCGATCGCAACGCGACGGGCTTCTTGAGACAATGGGGAGAGAGTGCAGCAGACAGAGACATGTTGATTTGATTGTTTCGTGGAAAAATACATAACACATTATCGCAATTGCTGTATGTAAAACGCCAAAGCCATCAATATATTTCTGAACAATGTGAAATTTCCTCGATGGAAAATTGACTCACGAGGAAGTCTCTTGCTGTGAACAATTGACAGCAAACCCTAAAAATTGTGGCATGATGGCACAACACATCAATATAATTAATTGATCATCGTTAATGTGTGAGAAATTTAATAATTCACCCTCGAAAAGTGAATTGGCGATAAAATTTCTTCCCTCATAATCGTCACGTTACATTCACTATCGCAGTTGAATTTATTGAGCCCACACATCATAAATTTGTCTTGATGTATCAAATGTCTCCCTCATTGTTTTGCATTCCTTCCTTCTGCGCCTGAATCGGAACATTATTATATTATTGAGAACTGGAGAAACCTTGGGTGAAAGAATGCCAGAAATTCTGATGTTGTCGCTCAGGAAATACGAGGAATTTCTGCAGCCAATAAAGTCATTTTCAGTTCAAAAGAGTTGTTTAGATTCTAGCTAAAAGATTAATGTTTATTTCTCGAAAAATTATGTATGAAACCTTCTGTTATTCTGATAGTCCTTGACCTTTTGAAGGACTTTTTGGACTTCTGAGAAAATTGTAGGAAATGTCAAGAACATCATTTTAGGCAAACATAACCTAAAAGAATAGTTTCTAACCGCACTAGAACCATTAAAATCAGTACTATAATGAGTGCTTTCTTCCTTCCAGATGCTCAACAACTGACTTACTCACTCGGCAAGATGGAAGCACAGCCAGAAGAGGCGTAAGACCAGGAAGAGTAGCGCAGAAATCCATTAAAGGGAGAGCTTTAGAGGAAGTGAGACACGTGCAACTGACTGAGACTTTCTGAAGGAAATCAAGGACTGAAGTAATAGTAGTTGAGAGTGACGAAAGGACGTCATTTGTAGCCACAATGACGCTCCTTTGGACAGCGCTGATAGCGAGTGTTCTGACGCTGCAATGTCGGGCGTTTGGCGACATGCACGCCAGTCCGGCGCCCGGGATGCACCACATGGGCTACAACAAGGAGCCCAAGTGCGAAGAGATCACGATTCCCATGTGCCGCGGGATAGGCTACAACATGACATCCTATCCCAATGAGATGAACCACGAGAACCAGGACGACGCCGGACTGGAGGTGCACCAGTTCTGGCCTCTGGTGGAGATCAACTGCTCGCCGGACCTGAAGTTCTTCCTCTGCTCCAAGTACGCGCCGATCTGCCTGGAGGACTACCACAAGCCGCTGCCAGTGTGCCGGACGGTGTGTCAGCGCGCGAGAGACGGCTGCGAGCCCATCATGCAGAGGTACAGCTTCCCGTGGCCGGAGAGGATGGCCTGCGAAAACCTGCCACTGTACGGCGACACGGACAACCTATGCATGGAGCAGCCGGACTACGTGAATGCCGCCGAGAGTGATCACAAGGAGGCGACGCCGAAGGCCACGAAGAAGCCAGCCACGCCGGCGCCGCAGACGCCGCCGCGCGATGGCGGCAAATGCAAGGGGAAGAATTCAAAAAACTGCCAAAACACCCCAGGGGAAAGGACCACCAAGGAGTGCGGGTGCTGGTGTCGTCCGCCTCTGATTCCCCTGGGGAAGGAGACTCTCTGGTACAACACAAGTGTCGCAAAGGTCGGAAGCGTGCCAAACTGCGCCATCCCGTGCAAGGGGGCATTCTTCACGCACGAAGAAAAGGAGTTCGCCGGCGTGTGGATCGCCCTCTGGTCGGGACTCTGCTTCGTCAGTACATTAATGACACTCTCTACTTTTCTTATCGACACCGAACGCTTCAAGTACCCTGAGCGGCCGATTGTCTTCCTCTCCGCCTGCTACTTCATGGTCTCCATCGGCTACCTCACCAGGGTGTTCCTGGGACACGAGGAGGTGGCCTGCGACGGCCGGTCGATCCGCTACACCGCCACCGGGCCGAGCAGCTGCACGCTCATCTTCCTGCTGGTCTACTTCTTCGGCATGGCGTCCTCCGTGTGGTGGGTGGTGCTCAGCTTCACGTGGTTCCTGTCCGCGGGACTCAAGTGGGGCAACGAGGCCATCGCGAAGCACTCGCAGTACTTCCACATGGCCGCCTGGCTCATCCCCAGCGTGCAGAGCGTCGCCGTGCTGCTGCTGACCGCCGTGGACGGGGATCCTGTGTCCGGCATCTGCTACGTCGGCAACATGTCCACCGAGAACCTGCGCACCTTCGTCCTGGCGCCGCTCTTCGTCTACCTCGTCGTGGGCACGACGTTCCTCATGGCAGGCTTCGTGTCGCTCTTCCGCATTCGCAGCGTGATCAAGCAGGAAGGCGGCCTGGGCGCCGTGACGAAGGCCGACAAGCTGGAGAAGCTCATGATCCGCATCGGGATCTTCAGCGTGCTGTACACCGTGCCGGCCACCATCGTGATCGGCTGCTACCTGTACGAGGCGTCCTTCTTCGACGACTGGATGACGGGCCTCACGTGTCCCTGCATCAGCATGGACAAGACCCGCGAGCGCCCCATCTACTCCGTGCTCATGCTCAAATACTTCATGGCGCTGGCCGTGGGCATCACGTCGGGCGTGTGGATCTGGTCCGGCAAGACGCTGGACTCCTGGCGCCGGCTCTGGCGGCGACTCTTCGGCTCGCCCGATCGCAGCGGCGCCAACCAGACGCTGCTCAACAAGCGGCCGCCCATCCCGCAGCCCTACGTGGGCTCGACACTGGGCCCGGGCAGCGCCACTGCGTCTCTGCTCACCACGCCCTACACCCAGGCGCCCGGCAGCGTGGCCTCCACCAGCCACCACCACCTGCACCACCACGTCCTCAAGCAGCCGACGCTGAGCCACGTATGACCTGGCGACCTGGGCGGAATGGCGCCGATCGGCAGCGTGGCGTCCGTGCCCGTGCCCGGGTCAATCGCGGACCCGCGCGCCGTGTCCGTGGTGGTGACGCTGCCGCAGCCGGGTCAGGCGCTCAGCGACTATGGCCCCATATAGTTGACAGTGCGGCCCACAGATCAGCAGAGGGCGCGCTGGGTCTCCAGCCAGTTCAGTCATGTGTGAAAGGGCAGGGAATGTTCGAAGGCTCTCTAGTCTCGTGTTTTGTATGTATAATTTATTTCAGCTTATCGTCGCCACAGCGAAAGATGCGGCCAGAAAAGTCTCGGACTCTCTGGTCTTCTGAGTCTTCCCTGGATTGGGATTGAAGAGAAAGATGGCTTCCTTAGCGATCGAATAAGAATCAGAAGAGCAAAATATCAAGTAGCATCAGACTGTCTATTAACAATCGTCCGAAGAGTCATAGGACATTCTTTCATGAGTCAGTTTGTCCTTTGACAACAAAGGATTCTTTCTTCTATCATTTAAACTGATAATTTTTTAGTAAATGTGACTCAAAAGAGGCCATTTTGTCCGAGAAAAGCCGCTTTATGTCTGTGGAGACCGATAAAGAATGTCAAGTAAGGAGGAAAAGTAAAGTAAATGATCATGATAATGCGATGAAACATGTTCTTGTAAATAAACCTATAAATATACACACATTCATTGCATAAGAATTAATATCTATATACTTTGTAAGAAATTTGAAAGGAATACAAATTGACGAAAGAGTTTTTGTGTATAAAAGAAAAACGCCTACAATTGCAGCTGCAACTTTTTTTTAATTCCTCTGTTAAACCAGAAAAATGGGGGAATTTTTGAAAGAATTTTTTTTCTAAATATTTAAAAAAAAATGTCTGTAGTTTTTAAGTTTCTAACAAATTTTCTATGCAAGCATTTTTTATTTACACAATAAGAGAATATTGATGAATAAAAAATAGAAAATCCAAAGACTGTTGTCCATATAATTAATTAGACATTAACATAGGCTTTAGAGATAAAAGATATAAGAAGTGAAGAGAAATAAGACGATAGATTTGACGTGAAACACATGAAGATTGAGAAAACATTGAGTTTTTCTCCTTTTGATGCCATGTGAAAATACTGCCAGGACAGATTAGAAATTTTCACTTTACACAAAGTTTAAAAAGAAAAAAATGAAAGAAGAAGGTAAAAATAAAACATTAGTGAACAAACAAGAATGCAAAACATTGTCGTGAAATTTTGATTGAAGAATTTCTTTTGAGAGAGAGAGAGAAAGATAGAGAAATTAGGTGCATTTTCGAGAGAACTTTTATACGTAATTAGATTTTAACTCAATGTGATTAACTTATATAAGTAATAAAGTAATGGAAAGAAATTAAAGAACAATACAGCATTAATAAATTGAATTGAATGTGGTAGAGAACAATTTTCGACGTCATATTTATTCCAGAATGAAGAATGAAATGAAATAGCAATAATAAGCATTTTGTAGTCAATCAAATTGAATTTCTCTCGATATGACATGGATCTTTGCATGGAAATAATCTCACATATCAGCCAATCTATTCTCATTTCTTAAACCCCAAAAATATGCCACACAATGTTGAAAACAATGCGAGTTGCAATGGAAATAGAATCTGCCATAAATGTGCCATTTTTATTTATCATACTGTCATCTTTCTTATACACGAATAGACAAAGTCCACACGATCAGATGATTGTGAGAGATCACAGACAGAGTGAAGGAGTTTTGAGAGCACAAATCTTCTGCAAGAAGCGGGAAAAAAAGGAAATATTTACGGATGGAATAGAAGGATAGCATTTAGGGAGAGAATTATATTATGAAACATTTGAAATTGGATTTATGATATAGAAATTTAATGGTATATAAAATGTACGTATGGAAAAAAAAATTTAAAAGGAAAAAATATTACTAAATAAAATTTATCATCTTACAATGGAGATAAAATGAGAAACAAAGCATGATTATTATTATTTATTCCTGGGTCGAAAAATCTTTCTTATTGTTTTGTGTTTATACTTTTGTCACAAACTCTAAAGACATTTTGTGTTGGAAGAAGGTAAGAATGTTATCTTTTCTTCTATCAACTCATCTTCTTAACACACTTTTTTTTTTATTACACCGATCTCTCTGTGCTTTCTATCCTGTCATATTATTTCCAAATCCAGAGCAATTAACGCTGTAGCGACTAATGAAGTTATTTATTTAGCGCAGACGTTAGAACAAGAAAAAAAAGGAAAATGAACAAATATGCTTAATAATCTTTCTCTTATTGTAATTAATTGTACCAACCTATAATTGTAACATGGACGAAAAGAGGATTGAGAAGGAAGAGGCGACATTTGTAAATGTATAGTTAAAAGTGAATGATGACGAGAGAAACATTGTAACACGTAAGGAGTGACTTTAAGTAGCGATTTAGTGGAGAATTATTGTGTAAAGGTGACAGGATGAGGAGAGAGTGCCGCGAAAGGAGGCGCCAAAAGGATGGAATGTTCAAAGAGTAACCAATTGATATCTGGTTTTAGCAGATGGACCGTGTATACGATAGCAAAAGAAGCAGTGAGTTGAGAAATGTGAGGGAAAACAATTATATGATTTTGATTGTTTCAATATTAAACACAGGTAAAAATCAAAAATCAATCTTTCAATTCGCCATATATTGATTGCCAGTCAACACAATTGCACAATTCCCTCACGTTGCGTCTCGGCACACACAATTGTTTTCCCTTCGCACGTCGGGCGTCGCTGGGAAACGTGCAGGAATCCTTTGAGGATTAATTCCTACCTTCAGTCGCAACCGAGTCCTGTGATAATCCCCCCGTAAATTACAATACTTCGACGATTGAGAATCTCTCTCGAGAGACATTTCGAAACCGTTTCATCGTCAATATGTGCGTTAATTGTTTGCTTTTCATCCTCACTCGAAAGGATTTTGGATTTATTGTCCCTTTTCTCACATCCACTCATGGCAAAAAGGTGGGTGAAAAGAAGCGTCAATCCTTTTATTAGGTGGTAAAAAATATAACCACACTTTGGAAATGTCTCAAACTGATCTATTGAAGTATTGAAAAATTACTTTCAAAATAGAATAACCTTGGAACAAAACTATTGACTTCAAAATTTTGAAAATATTATTTTTGATATTAGCGCCTCTCCGGTGGTCTGATAAACTTCTGTTGTTCTAATAAGTTGTAGAGTTTTGTATGAGCTTTTCAACGAGCCCAAAATCGCAATGATCAGATAAATAAAATCGGAGATATAGCGTATTTAAAATTCAAACTTTTAACCGTCATAACTCCGCTTCTATTACATTAGCAAAAAGTTATAACTTATTTTTAGAGACGTCCTGATCTGGACTACAACACACTAAAATCTTATCAAAATGCACCATCTGATTGTTGAGATACTGGCGTTTGTGGATAAATTTAAATTAAAAGAAAATTAATTAATTAATTCTTTAAATTTAAAGAAAATTTATACCCGTTTTTCTCGAGTTATTAAGATTTAAATTTTTGAAAAACTTTTTTTTATCTTAGCACCCCTAGTGGTGGTCCTACCAAGTTATGTTGTTCGAGTGGGAGATGACATTTTACGAGACCTTTCCAATGAATACAAAATCATTCCGATCGGTTAATTGGAAGCGGAGCTATTGCCGTTTTAAGTTTCGAAATTTAGACCCTAAAATCTAGGGTCTGCTAGGACTTAGGTCCTTAAGTGGCTGTTCGTTGGAAAGGTCTTGTTATTTGGGTAGATTTTGCGAGTTTTTGTATTGAGCGCGATTATAAGTGCAAGCGGACTTTGACCGCTGGGAATGTGAATCACTTATTTCCTGTTCAGCGAAGGTCATAAAAAAGTGAGTCAAAATTTCTAGATTGAGTCCTTTGCCGTGGATGGAATACATCAATGTCGACAGAATAAGTGCGCCATGAAAAATAGGCAAATGACGGTATCACACTTCCGGAATAAATTAAATAACACAATCATCAAACTCGATAACAATTTCCTGGTCTTACCTTTTAGGACTTATGTGTGTCGCATGAATCACCTCAATTTGCCAAATTTGAAATTTTAATTTTCCCCAAGTGTGTTGCAAATCTCACACCATTTGCTGATATAAACTTAGTATAAAAGGACTTTCTATTTGAATGGCAAATTCAGTGAGTGACTGACTTGAGTCTGAAAAATGGCCACAATGATTGCAGTGCTTTCTTTGGGATTTCTACTTCCAATCTCTGTATTCTGTTTTTCGCTTTCGCGTGAAGAATTCAAGGATGCAACCAGTGAATTAACTGATATAACTCCCGAAGATCTGAATACAGGCAAATTTTTTGAATGCATTCCGTTTTTGATCGAATGCAGTCACTATAATCGTTTCTGTAATTTCGGAAAGTGTATTCCGAAGCAAACTCTTGGCGGAAGTTGTGACTTCAAGACGCCATGTCGCATTAACTTGGCATGTGTTAATCAGCGTTGCAAGCGCATTCGCAAGAAGGATAAGGACAAGTACGGAAATGGTGGAAATGGCGGAAATGGAAATAATGGAGGAAATGACAATACTACGACACCAGCAGCCACAACTACTACGTCAACTACAACGACGACAACAACTACTTCAACCACAACTGCTTCTACTACTACCACAGGTAATTAGAAGTATATACAAAAAAGCTAATAGGTGCTTTCGATAGCTTAAACATTGATCAGCTTCTTGGACGACTAGGAAAGAACCTCAAATTTAAAAAAAAAAGTATTTTTATGACAAGACAAGCAAAATATTCATGCTTTTCTAGCTTCTATAATTATAAGATTATCCATTAAGGTTTGACCAAAAATTAATAAACTCTTTCTATTATAGAATGCCCACATTCCCATGAACATCATCATCATTGCCACCACCATTCTCACGAAATTCTTTCACTTGAAATCGAAAAGTGAAACTGAATAGCAATGCTGAGGAAAAGGATTTATTCAACGAATTGTAATGAATTTGAAAATTTTTGCGTCAGAATAAATTGATCAAATACAATATATGTTTTTCATTTCAATCATATTTATTTAGCATTTAAAACGTTTACAGAGAATTATCCATTCCACATTTACACACTCTATGACTTCCTAAAACCTCTCAAAGTTATTAATTAATAACTCTTCTTTAAATTTCCTTCCCTCTTTGGCTGAAATCTCACGTACATCCATGACTAAAGTGTGCGCAAAGATGAAAATTGCATAACAAAGAGCCATTTTGGTCTATCAATCGGAAATGATTGATTATGACTAATTTACACTTTTATTTCCTGCGCGTCAGAATTTGCTGACAAATCCCAACGAGAGGAGAGAGAGAGAGAGAGAGAGAGCTGAAAATGATGGGAAAGGGAAGAGAAAAGCGCCCGAGAGTGAAGAAATGTGGCAATGTTTCACCACAAGAGGACTTTTTCCTGTTCGTCTTGTTGGGCGTCTTTTGTGCCGCCCGACGATTGCCAAGAGGTGTAGGAAATTGAAAAGGATTTCTGTCGTCTGTGCGTGAGTTCTGGGATGGGTTCGCCCGACGAGGACGGTGATGGATCGCCGGGCTTCCTTTTCTCCGCCGAGAGTGATCGATTGCCATCAGAATTTCATGAACAAACTTCTGTCCAATCACTCTTCATCGCGCATCTCGAGGAATCCCGCTCGATGGATTTCATATCGCTCGTCTTCCCATTTATTCCGCCTTTAAATTCATCAACGACAGAGCACAAAAACATATTCTGGATATTCTGTAATTCGTCCTGTTTTTATTTTCGCCTCCGACGCGCGGCAAATGAATGGGCGGCAAATGTGATAGGAGAGATTGTTGATTATTTCGTTATCACACCTATTTTGCCAGCTATTTGCACGTCTGGCCAATTTCCAGCACAAAATGCGCTTTGTGTATAGACAATTAGCAAATTAGTGCTGCTCGGGGATTTTACGGCTGCGTTTTTTTGCAATTGCATCATTATAATCATTATCCTGAACATTGATGGACTTTTTTCTCGTCTCTCGCTTTTTTTAATCCTTCTTTCAATCTCTTATTGAATTTTCCACTTGTCTTTCATGCTGTTTCTGCAGAGAAAACATCCAAGTCAGAGGCGTAGTAAGTATTTACCTTTAAGATTAATAAAGTAAAGTATTTTTTTACTTTAATATTATGAAAAATTAACTCTTTTAAACCTAATGGAATCATTGAATTGAAATTTAAAGAAAATATATGAATAATATACTAGTTTTTAATGTTTTTTATCAATGATTATGAAATCAAAAACACTTGTTGTGGAATAAATCGTCAAAGATACTTTTCTTCAGGCACTCCTTAAATTTTCGGAACACACAACGCAGTAAGAAAACAGCTTCATATGCTTTTACTCCAGTTAAACCCAAGAATTTGTCATATTTTTTATTTTTCTCTGCACTTTATTTCATTTGCACTTTGTCTTCAAAGTTCGTGTCAAGTGCAAAACTCGAAAGTTCTAGGACTCTTTCATCTCATTCTTGCACTTATATTTCACAGACGAAAAGATGAAAACACAGGGAAATTATATTTCTTTGCCAAACCAGAAAACAATTATTTTCATTTGATGTGAGAAACAGAATAATGCATGTGACATTTTATTCATCTTTTGCAACTTTTGCAGCGTCAAAATCATCTCTTTGACGAATGCACTTGAAACTTTCTCTGTAGAATCTTATAATCCCGCCACAGAGATCGCCTTTATCACAAAGAGACAAAGTGTATTTCTCATCTGAAAACGCACCGCTCGGCGAGAGCTTATCAAAGGATATTTGTATTATTACAAGATGAAACAACTCCGCTCGCGTTCTTGTAATCTTTCCGCAAGCAAACGGCGACTGCTTAAATATTTAGTGCGCGGATTAGGAAAGAAAAACTGCGGTTGGAAATAATCTGGTGCTGAGAGAGTAAATTTGATGAGGTGTCTTTTCATCTCGCGCGTGAGATAAGAAAATTGTCTCGCGTGGGGAGACAAAAGATCGTTTCATGGGTTAATTTTAGACGAGCGACAATTTGATTTTCGCGCTGGGATAAAGTTTTGGATAACGCCAACTGTCAAAACTGAAAAGCCGTCATAACCTTACTTTCAGTGTTTTGATTTTGCTGGACGCTCTGTGGCTGGCAGAGAGATGTCCTCCTCCCAGGACTCCTGCTACATTTCCCTCCTGGGATTGGCTGAGTACTTTCGCACATCGAATCCGCCGCAGATCAAGAAGAGCATCCAATGCCTGCAAGCGCTCAATTCCCTGAATCCGCCGCAGAAGGTCGAGGCCAGGACCAATCTGCAGATCGGGCAGCTACTGATGGCCTACACGAACAATCACGACCTGGCCAGGATCCACCTGGAGAAGGCATGGACACTGGCGGAGAACATCCTGGCCTTTGACGATGTGAAGTTCGTCACGGCGAGCCTCCTGGCGCAGCTCTACCAGCAGCAGGACGTCGGATCGCTGTCCAAGTCCAACAAGGTCCTCCGGAAGGCTATTGAGCTCTCCCAGTCCAACGTGTACTGGCACTGCCGCCTCCTGCTGCAGCTAGCGGTGAGTATCTCTCTCCGGCCCGGAGATTCGGACTGTTCCGCTGACGCATCTTTGGTCTTTGCAGCAACTCCACGCCACCAACAAGCAGTACATCCTGGCGTCCGAGCTCCTGACCGTGGGCGTGGAGGTGAGCGAGGAGTACAACGCCACCTTCATGAAGATCATCTTCATGCTCAGCAAGTCGATGGTGTTGATCGTGATGCGCAAGATCAGCGAGGTCACGACGCTGCTCAACCAGGCGGGCAGCCTCATCGAGACGCACCTGCACAATCCCCACCAGAAGGAGTACCTCAAGGTGTTCTACCTGGTGCTGCAGGTGTGCTACCACCTCGTGATCGGCCAGGTGAAGACCGTGAAGCCCTACCTCAAGCTCCTGCAGCAGAGCATCCAGGTGATCATGGCGCCCAGCTTCCCCACGGACGAGGCCATCGCGAACAGCGGCGCCGCCATGGAGAACATCATGTGGCTGCCGAAGGAGCAGCTGTACGTGCTCGTCTACCTCGTCACTGTGTCGCACAGCATGATGGCCGGCTACATGGACAAGGCGCAGAAGTACACGGAGAAGGCGCTGTCGCAGATCGACAAGCTGAAGCAGCTGAAGAACCAGCCCATCCTGTCCGTGTTCCAGATCATCCTCATGGAGAACATCATCATGTGTCGCCTCGTGATGGGCAACAAGTTCATCGCCATCCAGGAGATCTCCTTCGCGCGCGACATCTGCCTCCAGTCGGCCAACAGCCGCCTGGCCGTCACGCACTCCGCGCAGCTGCACTGCCTGCTCGGACTGTACTCCATGTCCATCAACCTGTTCGAGCACGCCGAGCGACAGTTCCTCAGCTGCCTCGAGGAGGCGCACGACCGCGAGCTGAAGCTCTTCGCCAACCTCAACCTGGCCATCGTGTACCTGCGCACGAAGCGCGAGCAGCAGCTGGCGCTCATCCTCGAGTCCATCTCCGTGGAGAGCGCCCAGTCGCTGCACAACCAGGCTCTGCTGGGCAGCTTCTACTACATCCAGGGCCTCAACTCCTTCTACAAGAGCAGCTTCCACGACGCCAAGTGAGTCAATTCAGAGTACTGAATCTTATTAGGAGCCAAAAGAACCTCAATTTGCGTCTGAAACGCAATTTAATGGATTTATTGGTTCAATTTTTCTTGAATTTCACGATCTTTTTTTTCAGGCGCTTCTTGCGCGAGACGCTGAAGATGGCCAACTCAGAGGATCTCAACCGCCTGACGGCGTGCACGCTGGTGCTGCTAAGTCACGTCTTCCTCAGCATCGGCAATTCCAAGGAGAGCATGAACATGGTGACGCCGGCGATGCAGGTGGCGTCCAAGATTCCCGACATCCACGTCCAGCTCTGGGGCAGCGCCATTCTCAAGGGTGAGGATAGCTTACTTGGCTCAAAGAAAGCGCTTTAACGAGCGATTTCCTCCTTTGCAGATCTGCACAGAATGTCGCGCGACTCGATTCTGGAGACGGAGGCCTACAACAACCACCTGGCATTCTCGCAGACGCTCCTGGCGGATCACTACAAGTGCACCAAGTCGCAGGAGCACAACCTGATCAACTGGTTCACGGGCCTGCCGCCGCCGTCGCTGCCCGGCTCCGGCTCGGCGATTCCGGGCAGCGTGATGGACATGACGACGGGCACGGGCATTTATCAGCAACAGTAAAGAGAGAGAGAGAGACAAAGAGAGTGAGTGAGACTTTTATTTCTTCTTCTTGGGCTCCTTGGCCGCCAGCTCGAGGCCGGAGATCTTGCCCTTGGACACGCCGTAAGTGTCCGTGAGCAGCTGGTGCACGAAGCGCACCTGATTGCCCTGGATCAGCAGCGAGTCGCCCTTGGCGTGCGGCGTCTGCGTGACTGTCGTGCTCGCCTGCACGCCGACACGACAGCGATTGGCGAAGTCCTGGATGAAGATGCCGTGCGCCTCCAGATTGCCCACCAGGGTGACCTTCTTGTTGCCCTTGCGCGTGGCCAGGCTGATCTGGATGTTGGGCAGCTTCGTCTGCTTCTCCTTGGCGCGCATCTCGAAGTTCACGGGCATCTTCTCGAGCAGCTCCTGCAGCATCGCCGAGTAATTCATGCTGGCGCCGACTTCGCGCCCCAGAATCTCGGCCAGAGTGTCATCCACGCTGATCAGTCGCGCATTCTCCGCACTCCGCAGCTTCCTGGTCCGCGTGTAGGATGAAAGATGCTTGTCCACTTCCTCCTCCAGCAGTCCGTCGCCGGTCTTGTGGCTGGATTCGGCGAAGAAAGGCGCCGTGGCGTCGCTGATGACGAAGATCTTGGTCATGGCGGTAAGGAGTTGGATGGGTTTCGGGGCGATTGGCTTGTCGGCGTCACTCTTGGCCGCCGAAGACTGTCCGGGAGTGAAAGCCAGCAGTTCCTCGTGGTCGAAGTTGATGGAGAACACCTTCTGGATGCCTTTCTTCTCTTCCTTCAGCACCAGGAAGCCCTCCTCGGCCATTTGCTCGAGGAACTTGGTGACTTTCTTGTGCTTCGTGTGCTTGATGTTGAAGCTCTCGGGCGTCGTCGTCTGGATGTGACTGGCGTAAAAGGTGCTGCTGAGCAGAGGCAGAGACAGTTTCTCACGATCCACTTTCAGGGCGGTGAGAAAAGCCCTCTTCAACACGTCGTCCGGTGATTCTGGCTCCTCCTCCTGAATCGTCACCTCTTGCAGCTCCTCAAGCACTTCCTCAATCTCATGCGGAGCCTCTGGCGCAACTGGTGGTTGCGCAGGAGCCTTCTTGCTTCCCAAAGCGGGAAAATCACTGTCTTTCAGCTCGGGAACAGCTCGCTCTCCGGCCGGAATCTGTACACAAGCGGCAGGCTCAATGGCCCACAGTTTATCACCGAACACATGCAGAATCTCCACGCACACTCCCGTGCCGCCGGACAGGTACAGATCGTTGCTGGACTGCGAGAAGATGCCCACGGCGCAGGCATTCGCGTTGGACGTGAGGTTCACAGCCACAACATCACCTCGGCTGAATCTTGCCCACGCCTGAGCGCCCTGGCCCTGCTTCACGACGCCACGCGTCATCAAATTGGCGCCCTTGGCCAGGATTGGCAGCACAGCCGGATGCGTGGTGACGCTGGCCAGCAGATTGGGCACCAGCCAGAGAGCGTGGACTGTCGGATAGATGCTCCCGCTGCTGACTTCGAAGAACATGGGCTGCTTCTCAGCCAGATAAACCCACACAGTTTCCTCCGCGCTCGTGATGATCTTCGTGTGATAAATATTTCCAGAAGACGGGAAAATCCTGGCAAAATCCTCTTCTGACAGCTTTCGATACTTCCCGAGGATCTTCGTCTGGAGTTTCTTCCTCTCGCTGTTGCGCAGCAAGAGTTTGCTCTTCACTTTGAACGATTTTATAAACATTTTCCCAAATTGTTCACTGCGTTTTCGTCTTGTTGTGAAAGAATTCGGTGAGGTTATGTTGCTTGATGATTTTCACCACAATCCGCTAGAGGGCCAGAGCGCGGATTTTTGCTGGCGAATTGCGGCGAACCGGCAAAAAAACGTGATTTACAGAGCAACAGTTTTCCGTGATTTTCACTGATAGAATCAAAGGAAAATGGAAGTTGTTGTGCGTTGTTGGATCAAGAATCTCGAATACTTACGCGAGGATACGAGAAATGTGTCGATTGTGGGAATTATTGTGGGAAAATCCGAGGCGAAGATATTCGATAGCGCTGAAGGCGAGGCGAGAGGCGTTTTCACGCTGACTCTCAGGGATTCCATCAGGGACACGATCAACTGTGTCTTCTGGGGCTCTAAGGACTTCATCTTGACCACCAACAAGGCGTTCAAGTACGGTGACGTGGTGAACGTTGTGGAGGCGCGCGTGAGTTCACCGGAAAGATCGGGTTTTCAGCCAGTGTCTTCCTCCCAATTCCTCCTAACCGTCAATGAGGACAAGGGGAAGATCTACCAATACACAGGCCCACAGGAAAACTTCAGAAAATTCCTTAGGGTGCCACTGAAGTCCATGGCATTGACGCTGAGCCTGGCTGATGTGAATTCCCGAGGAGAGCTCACTTCTGGAGACTTTGTGGACGTTCTGGTGATTGTGCGAGCAATCCGACCCGCCAGAGAGGTGACAGAGAAGTCCTGGCATTCAATTTGCTAAGCTTCCCTACGTGAACTCCTGGATTTGCTTATTTTCCAGGTGAAAACGCGCTTCGGAAAGATCACGCAGTGTCGCGAAATCATAGTCGCGGATAAAACCTTCCCAGGAATGCTTCTCACCTTCTGGGGAAAGTGCTGCGATGAGAGAATTGACTCCTGGAAGCCGCTGAAGACTTCCCTTATGCTCTACGATGTGAAGAGTGATTTTTCATCCTTCCATCGCGCCGTTATTCTCAGCTTCACCTCTCGAACGCTCATCACAGAAGATGTTGAAGCCCCAGAAGCCGAAGATTTGATCGCTTATGCAGCCAATATGCCTATTATCGAAGGATTTTCCCTCGACACCAACGATCTGCCTGCTCCAGAGCACATCCGGAGCGTCATGAGTGTGCAGCAGGTCCTGGACAGAGCCGAGGGGCAACTCAACGCGGGAAATGACACGCAATTCACAGCCTTGATTTACGCCGTGATCACCAAACTCGACTTGGACGGATTCTCCAGGATCGTCACGGAAAGATGGTGAGTTTTCAGTCTCTGGCTCAGTGTGATGAAATGAACTAAAACTCTTTTCAGTGCTTTCTGCAAGAAGATCATCAACGGCGAGTGCGCCGAGGCGGATTGCGCTCTGCTGCAGTTCAACGGCTCGCAGATGAACATCGTGACCTTTGAGATCCTCGTGGATCTGTCCGATCACACAGGAACGCTGGCCAATTGCCGCCTCGTGAGCGACGCCGCCGAACGTCTGCTGGGCCTGACGCCGGGGCAGTTCCTGCTGCTGTCGCCCGACCAGAGGAGCCAGCTCAAGTGGGCGACGCTGCTGGAGAGATGCGCCGTGAAGGTGGTGGTGCGCAAGAAGTCCATCTTCAGGCCCAGAATGTGGATTGGCGTCGTGGAGTGTCGCCTGGCGGATTGCGAAGATGTGGCGAGGAATATTAAGGTTTACTAATGCGAAATTGCTCAATCGCGATCTAATTTCTAATCCACGTGAATAAACAGGCTCAATTAGACGACCTGAATTTCCATAGGAATTTACCAAAATATCGGTGACGAAGCCTGATGACTCGCGCGCGGTGTTTTTGGGTCATTTAGCGCGTATAAAACGCCGCGAGAGCTTTCGGAGGAACAGAAAAGAGTGAAAATCCGCAAAATGAAGACTTTCCTGATCAACATTGTGCTGCTGATCGTGGTGGCGATGGTCGTGGCCGAAGAGGAGCCTCGGCCGCAGGGCAGATCGCCGATCCTGGACAGCATCTTGGGCGGCGGCAGCCAACCCAGCACAGGCGGCACTGGAGACCTCCTGGCGCCGGTCACCGGAATCCTGAACACCATCTTGAGTATCATCACGGGACTTTTGGGCATGGGAAAGTGATGAAATGAAACATTCAAATAAAAATGTCGAGAAGAAATCTCTGTATTTTATTTTATTTCTTGCGCTTGACTGTTGAGAAGTTGAGATTTCTCTGGCCAAGGCGATTGGAAGCTGAACTTAAGTAAAGAGCAATCAGATTCAATCATTTTTTAACTTCCTGGAACAGCTCAATGATGTGGAAGAATTACAATTATTATATTATTTCTATATTTGAATAGCAAGCAAGAGCATTTTGCTCTCAATTCGACTAAAATTCTACTAAAATTGACTTCAATTTACGCCAATTCGTGCTTTTTATTACTAATTAAGAATCTAGAAGTTTCATTACAAACTAACGCAATAAAATCACTCTTTTTCAACTCATTAACACTTACTAATTTCTGTGTAGTAATTGCAAAAATAAATCCAATAAAGCAATCTTAATTTAACTTGTTAATTTGTCCCATTTCTATTATCATTACGTTTGGCAAAAGTAAATAAAACCCAGAAGCTTAAGTTTCTCATTTATTTATTTATCTCCTCTTCCGGACAGAAATCAATAAACTACAAATTCCTTTTCTCAACATTTTCCCTCTTCCAAAGTGCTGTCCGTCATCCAGCTTGGCTCAAGACCGTGCTCAAGATGGACAGAATTAAGGTGACGACGTCAAAGAGCGGCTGCGGAATCGTTTGTCTGGCGACTCTTGTCGAGACTTCTTCGGCTTCCGGCGCGGCGCGAATCGCCAACGGCGCAAGAATTGCGCACAGAACAAGCGCGACAACGAGAATCTTCATTTCGCACTTTCCCAGAGACTTTTGGCGCAATTCCCGCGAAATTCCGCCTCTTATACTCGCCATCTTTCGCTCGTGACACAATTTCTCGCGAAAACAGATTGCAATTGATCACACAAGTTCCAAATTCGGGTCTGCAGAGTGTGCAAAAAAGATGTTTGTGGAGAGATTAAGAGTCAAAAGTTTTCATTGTATTGATTTATTTTCATGTTAGGCTTTTTGAGCTTATTTATGGTGCATCGCAGCCCAAAATGCCCACGACACTGAGATAAGTGTCGACATCGAGAGCTTCTGAAAGCGCTTCGCAGACAGTTTGAAGTAAATCGTTGAGAGGATTATCTGGAAATTCAGTTCCTTCGGCAACAGCTTTGGCTTCCGCTTGAATGGCGACGAAAGCCAAGACGGCAAAAACTGCGATGAAAATCTTCATTGTTGGCTTGTTAGGACACTTTTCACTTAGACTTGTCTTCACTTTTGACTCTTTCGGAGCAATTTTCCCTTCTTTTATACCCAAAATTTATCCGCCCTAAAGCAACCATGATCTTGTTCATGCGAAGGGCACTATTTGATCAGTTTGTTGCCTTTAACGATCGAATTTCTGTGTCACATGAAGATCTTTCATTGGCAAGAATCAGGTCAAGTTTATCACAAGGTTTGTTATGATCTTCAATCTATTCGATCCATTCGATCTAGATCAAGGTTTGAAATTTAATTCTACTGATAAACTTCAGTTTAAAACATCTAATCTTGAAAGAGTTCAAAATAAGGATCTCGAAAATTCGACATCGGATCCTTTTTAGTGGAATTCGATTGCAGAATCTGAGTTTCATTAAAAGAATTCACATATCGTCTTGAATACATTTATTTAATCAAAAGTAATACAAATTTAAAACATTCTTTAACATTTAATTACTTCTATTTTCCAAAGCCTGAAAGCAATCCATTGAGAAGTCCCATGACGGCGCCTAGCAAACTACTGATTATGTCATCGGGAGCTTGATTTGGGAGCGGCATAATCAGTCGCGGCCGATCTCTGGGCTGATCCTCAGGCCGCACTTCGGTGACCAAGAGTCCTAGAAGAACCAGCAATGCAAGCGTCACAAACGTCTTCATCTCGTTGCCGCAACACATTTGCTCGTCGCCTCGCAAAATGTCCACTTTTATATTCGAAAAACGATCTCTTTTGCAGCTCTTTTGACACGATTTTTCGCAAATGAGAACACCGAAATTGCGGGAAAGCGTTTTATTTGAACAAACTTGAACAACATGATTTATTTTCTAAAGTGGAACATTTCTTAAGCAGATCAGCAGCTATCCAGACAGCGTCTGGAAGAGCTCAAGACCGAGAAACAGCAGATTCAAGAGGATGTTCAAGACTGGCGGCGGAATGTCGTCGATGTTGAACGTCGGGACGATTAATCCAGTGGAATCCTGAGGCCTAGCTTCGATGGCGAGCAGAAGGCCTAGCAAGGCGAGAGCAGCAAGAATGATCTTCATAGTGAGGTTGATTAATAAAGTGAACTATTTGCACTTGTGCTCTCCTTTATAAGTGAGCCAAAATCGATATTCCAGTTCCTCAAATTAGATCCAAATATTTGATCAGCTTTTCACCCACAATTCTTGGCTGAATTCCGTCCATAAAGTGAGATCATTGACATACGCCTGACCTAGTCAAGCTCACAACGCAAACAGACACTTTTTAATAGAAATAAAATGTAGTTCAAGTCATGCAAAATTATACATTATGACTTGATGATAAGTTTAACTAACCTACTTATGACTCTATATCGAATATAACATTCGATATAGTAGCAAATGCGGTTTATTTTCACTCACCTGACTCTTTCGCAGCACAAATCAAATTGAAAAGAAGGATCAAAGTTAAACATCTAGAACGATTGTAACGCTTTCCAAGCAAACGAAGTCATTTTGATACTCGCAATATGGCCGAATTGCCTCCATGTTGACGTTTTGACACGTGCAAAAGGAACGAATTTAGTACAACAAACACCAAGATTACCAGCAAGGAGGATTACAGCGAATGCTGGATTAGTTTTCCTTCGGTATTAAAGGGTTGAAACGGTGAAAGAACCAGAAATCTCAGAAATTTTAATGCTCTTTTTGCCATTTATTTTCATGCTTAAGGATTCTCTTATTTGTCCTCACAGAAGAACTCATAAGCCGGCGTTCCATAAATGAGAAGACAGAAAAAGAAAAATGGATCGGGAAATCCATCAGGCGAAACTCCTGCTTGAGCGGCAGCATTCTCCCTTGCATTTTCTTTTGCATTCTCCGCTGCCGGAATCGCGTTGACTTGAAGAATGGCGGCGAAAGCCAGGACAACAAAAACGGCGATCAGGATCTTCATTGTTGGCTTTTGTTAACTTTAGACTGTTAAGACACTTTGTTTCTTGAGAGTTGACTTCACTTTTGACTCTCGAGGCGATTTTCTCGCCTTTTATATCTGTTCCGGTTGAAACATGCAGTAAATGAATGTTAGATTTAAGTCCGAAATTGAGACACTATTTTTTACTATTTCTAACATTCTCAGGCCAAGCAAACTTAGTTTAAGTAATAGATATACATCTTAATCGCCAGGTTTAGGTCAAAAAGGTTTCAAATTTCAGCTAGATTAGAAAATAATAGTACCATTTCTAACCCCTTGCACGGCGGTGTAAAAATATGCCATTTCCACCGCGAAAACCCGAATATATTTCAGCACACTAGATACTAACCACAACAAGGATCAAGTCCTGACTGAATCCTTGTTGATAAGATAAGATAAATGGGAGAAAAATCAAATAATCTAATCTCCATATAAAGTCATATGAGTCACACACTCGATGCGCTCAATGACCCACATTCAGAAAAATGCAGCGGGTGCATTTCTCGCCACCACTTTTCGTCACTTCTTTTGTCACTTTGAATTTGTCGATATTACAATTTGTCGCCGAATTAATTAAGTAGGGATAAGAATTTTGTGTATAAAAGACGGTGTAATGCATTGAATAAATCAGACTTCGCATGGAAATCCAGCAGCTTTCAATAAGTAAGCTTCCCTTCCATTAATATTTGCGATTTCTCAGGACCACTTAGCCTTGTCCGCAGCACCTCCAGTGCTTCTTTCAGCGGCTAAGTCTCTGGCTAATATCAGCGGCACTCTTGCCATTCATATTAGCGGCCAGAGTCGGCTCTTTCCCTGCCTCTACCAGCGGCTCCTCTTCAAGGAGCTCCAGTAAAAGCGGCAGTAGAGAAAGAAGTATTTTCTGAGGCTAAACCTTAGCCCAGTGCAAATCGGAGGCACCACCGGTGGTCGCCACTCACCAGGGAGCATTCTTGCTTAAGCCCGGTGGCATTAGATTGCCGTTGACCGAAGGCATTTTAGTCCATACAGGACGCGCCTTGCACTGTTGCAGAAGATACTTTGTTCTCTAGAGGGAGCAAGGGGACCTCTTGAAGAAATCGAGAGGCGACTTTCCTCCAGCAAAGTAATTCTCTAAAAAAGCCGATAGAGAATCTTTACATGGTCCTTCGAGCCGGATAGCTCTGAAAGAAGACTATCCTGGATCATCACAAGTCTACAGGAATCCTGGACACCATCCCAGCATTTCTCCCTGTGGATAACATCAAAACATTAGCAGAGAATCTCACCAGAGGTCATCAATCGTTACTGACCTTACCCAACGTGAAGATATTTAAACACTCACCACACAGCAGACCTCCCAGGACATCAGGACATCACCTCCGGTCCAATCCAGTGGACAAACATCGCTACATCCAGTAGGCGTTATTCCGAAAGGCTCATC